CAGATTAGAAAGAGTTTGGTTTCATTCCAAAATACATATATACATACAAATCACATGTGGCCCAGATGGTATAGTGGTAAGGGAAGCCTACTACGGTACCGAAGGGCCCGAGTTTGAATTTTGGAGAAGACATGGATGTTTGTAAATGTATAGTGTTGGTGCGGCATGGCGGCATTCTAATTATGCGGCGAGCTGAAAGTCCTCTCTTGTGGATTGGTGGAAGGGGAGATATAAGGGACAACTCTGATCCCCTCCCGGGTGCTGTCCTTCAAAATTGGGGGCGAAAAATGGAAGTCCAACCTCTCTTTGGAATAGGCCTTGGCAACCATTGTTCGTCTCATACGGACAAGGCAATAACAACGACATATGAATCACATTTCTAAAATAAATATGAGTTTTCTTTGAGAGGTATTTTTGAATAATCACAGCAGAAAAAGTTCAATTTGGGTTCATTACAATTAAAAATAAAGATTACATTTATAAAATAAGTTTCGTTCAAAGGCCATTTTTGTTACTCACATTACAAAGAATTCAGTTTTGCTTCATTCTGAGTAAAGAACACTTGAAAAGACAGAAACAGTATTAAATGTTATCTTTTCGTATCTCAGAGAACATAGACTATTTATGAATTAAAGTGCAAAAGGAAAGTATAATATAAAATGATCTAGATGTGCTTCATTCTGAGTAAAAATTTAAATTGCATTTGTAAAATAAATAAATAAAAATTTTAAAGAGCATTTTTAAATACTCGAAGAGTGTGTATGCTTGTGGGGTGACTAAATGACCTAGAAAACTTAGGATTTAAGAATTATTCAAAAGAGGCGTGGATATAATCTTCATAGAGATGATATGTAGTTTCAGCTGATTAAAAAAATAATCACTAAGAAAATAGCTTTAGCATCATTCAAGGAAAGTTATTTATCAAACACATCTGATTAAAGAATTGACTGTTGTATTTAAGTCACGTTTGCTAGGTTTTTCTTCGTTATGTCATCTTGTGAATCTATGCAACTCTGTTTTTCTATATATGCAGTAAAGAATCAAGTTTCTTCACAATTTATATTACAGAGTATAAAATAGCTTGCAGGATGCTATATCACTACCACATGTGTGCCTTTCAATGTGTTTATCAATGAAAAGTTATCTACAGAATTTATCTCGGATCCCAATGGATAAAGTATCTACAAGTTCAAGAACCTTAATGAGTAAAACAAAGTATGGTATTACGAACTGCAAAACAATCTATTATAACAACTGCAATTACTGGAGAGAGAAAAAAAAAACATGTTTTTGAATTACATCATGATCATCCATCAATGAAACCCCTTTGCTGAAAAGTGAGTGCACATTTCAATAAAGGGATATTTATAGACTTTGTTCCTTTGCTTAAATTTTGAATGGTGATTGTATAAAAATATCTGCAGTGCTGTTGTTACATAATGGTGCAATGCGGATTAATTTTTAGATGACGCATTTTAGATTCCAGAAAGAGAATATAGCCAAATTAAAAGTTAGTAGTTTTCTTTCATACTTTATCTCTTTCTCTTTTTCATACATACACATATATATAGAGAGAGAGATAAAAGGAAAAGGAAAATAAACGGAAGAGGGAAAAAAAATTATTTAGGGAAAATCAAAAGGAAGAGAATTTTGATTATCTTATCTGCAAAAAAAAGGTGTATGGTGGGGAATATTTAAAGATGTTTTAAAAGTGGAAATTTAGAGTAAACAAAGATGGCCATCTAAGCTTTTTGTACAAAAAGTTAAAACTTGTTAAAAAAAAGTTGTGTAATCATTAAAATTAAAGAAGCCATGAAAAAATAATAAATTAATCATCCCTGCTTCAAATAGAACTTGTCGAGGAGTAAGTATTTAAGACATTAAATTAGGTTGAATAATGAGTGCTGAATAACATGTTTCATTCCTTTTGACACTGTAAGACTGTAAACCATTGTAATTAATTTCCTTTTTGAAAGATTATTTCTCTGATTGTTTGTCTATTTATGTATATATGTGTGTGATGGATTGAAGAAGTTTATTGTAATAATAGAAGGATTAAACTTGCAGACCGTACCCATAGATACAACAACATTTTTTCCCTGGATAATGCAGTTATTAAGGCACATATTCTGATTCATATCATTATGGGTGCAATATGCACTCCCCATTTTTGAAAGTCTAGCACATCTTAAAACAGTGGGTGACAGAGTGAAGCAAGTTGCATGTATTAACTTGAAGCAAGCAAGAGGAAAAGTGCTGTGCTTACAGAAGAAGGTTGTGAGAAAGTCAAAATGTTTTTATTTCAAATAAAATCTCATTCACTGGTTGACTAAAATGTATCTGCATTGCAGTGCTGTGTAAGATCATATAATATGGATTAATTTAAAATACTAGGAATAAATGGGTTAATATATTAAAGGTAGTTTTAATTTTCAGGACAGAAAGAGGAAATACCTAAAATAAAATGAAGAAAAAAAGGCGCTATTGCCAATTAAAATCAGAAGTTTGCTTTATATATTTTTATCTCTCACACACACACAAACATATATATATATAAACTGTTCTACCTTATTTTTATATATGTATTTTTTTTTTTTTTTTTTTTTTGTGTGTGTGTGTGTGTGTGTGTCTATTTTAAAATGCTCGATTTCAATGTATACCATTACAAATTTTAAACAGCTTTTGAAGTTATTACAAGTATTTAATAGTTTTAACACAACCCTGTTAAATATCTGGTTGTAATGAAAGTTGTCCTCCAAACAACGTTCCTAATAACGTTAGAAAAAGAAACATGAAAGCTGTACCTTTATAGTGGGTAGGAATCACTACCCAAATCTATAATTTTCTCCCAATGTTTTGATAGTTTTTCAAAGCCTTAGGCCCATAAACTTGGTGGTTGCGAGTCCAAAACACAGATGAACCTCATTTCAGATGTCCTGTGCAGAATGGAAGATAGCACCAGCAAGATGTAGCTGCAGGTATGAAAAAAGGTAGAAGTCCAAAGGAGTGATGTTTCGGCTATATGGTGAGTTGGACAAAAGATCCCTTTCAAGTCCGTAAGAAGTCCAAAGGAGTGATGTTTCCGCTATATGGTGGGTTTGACAAAAGATCCCTTTCGAGTCCATATGAAGTTCAGCCGGTGAATGTAGACACATGTGGTATTCCATTATCTTGATGGAACATTACCTTTTTGTGCCAGATTTCAGTTTGACGTTTTTCCTTGATAGCAGTGTAAACATGGACTAGCATTTCGCTGTACACCTTGCTGTCAAGTGTTTTACCTTTTTCTAGATACTCTTTGTGGATAATGCCATGGCAATGCCACCAGATACAAAGCATGATCTTTTTGTTAGTCAAATTATGCTTTGCGATGCTGCCGATGGGCTCTCCATGCACAGATCAAATCTCTTTTCTGCCTATGTTGTTGAAGTAAATCCACTTTACATCACAAGTGACTATACAGTCCAGAATTTTGTCCTTGTGTTGGTATTCAAGTAGATTAGTGCAGGCCCGAACACATCTGTCTTTATCTGCTTGAAGCAGCTCATACGGCACCCTGTGATTGAATTTGTACATCACTTTTATGCGATGCATAGCGCAACTAATAAACGTGACACTAATGTCTAACTCCTTGGTAAGCTCTGTAGTGGTTGAATACTGATTTTCTTCTACGAGGTTTCGCTGATGGGCCTCATCAACATCGGTAGGCTGGCCAGAGCTCTTTGCTCCTTAAATGTCATAATCTTTTTTATTATTATTATTATTATTACTTAACTTTCAGTACCAAACCTTTACATGTCAAATGATACAACATTAATACCTGAAGGTGTAGACAAGATTTGGTGAGATTCTGTAGCTGACTTTTTACAACAGAATTGGAAGTAAATGATGGCTTTAATCTGGTAGTGTGATAGTTCCATTTCAGACTCGCTATACTTAATGATAATGATATTTTTTTACATATTTCATAATACAGTATTCTAAAGCAAGTCTCTTTCTTTCAAAAGCAAAAAAAAAAAAAAAATTGTTTGGCAAAATATTATTAAACACGGCAACATGAACTGTTTGCACAGGCGATATTTGTGGTGGCAGAAAACTTGCGTTGAAACCCGATATTAACCTTTCCTAATTTCAGTTTGCAATAATTTTTCCTTTCCTAAGAGATAATGATGAATAGAAAATTAATAATTATATGAAAATAAATTTAAAAATAATAAAAACCCAGGTGCTGTAATATAAAAATAATAGTAATAATAAATGTGATTCTTACATTTTTTTATAAAACAATTATGTTTGTCTATCAGTTATTCAGTTTCTGCAGTGATTATATTCACTACCATGTTCATTTTTTAGTGTTCTTCTGTTGCTATTTCAATGGAATATGAACTTAAATTATGCAATATATAATTAATAATACATATATTTAAAGACATCAAGTAAGAAATTAAGAACTAATTTTTCACAAAGGCCAAAAATTCATAATTAATAAATTTCAAAAAATCCTGTAAATGCAATAAAAAATTTAAAAAATGTTAAAACCAAAAATTTTCAAACAAGCAATACCCCAATTCAAAAAATTAAAGAAATGTAAAGAAAAACAAATATAATTGAAGAGGAATTCAATCAACTTCAATGCCATTTCGTCCTCTTCTATCATATTCGTTTTTCTTTAAATTTCTTTAATTTTTTTTTAATTGGGGTATAGCTTGTTTGGTTTTAACATTTTATAAATTTTTTATTGCGTTTTTCGGATCTTTTGAAATTTATTAATTATAAATTAAAATTTTTGGTCTTTGTAAAAAATTAGTTCTTAATTTCTTATTTTATGTCTTAACTGATAATTTTCCAGCAGCTTAATGCACAAAAATGCTAAGCATATTTATATTTTGTTTTTAAAAAATTATTTTGTTATTATGAAATACACCTATTTACTGTATAATAATATAATTATATGTAATTATATAATATATATTCCATATAATTTCATTTATTTATTTTAGTGTAACCGTCTGCTACAGCACTGCCCTCAGCCTGACTGTGACAATGTTATCAAAGCTCATTATGTTGATGCTCGTCCTGTTACATGTACCTGTGGTCATACTTTCTGGTAAATGATGTTTTACGATGCATGTTAAAAAATAAGTAGTATAGTATCATTAACAAAATGTTTTTAATTGCAAGGAAATAAAGATGTGTTGTTCCAAATTACTACAGAAGTCTGAATTTTTTGTAGCCCGAATGGCTTATAGCCCAGAAGGGCTATTAATTTTGTTTTGGCATTTTCCATTGATTCACAATAAGTTTCGGTTAATTTTTCAAATTGTTGCAACTAAATATTAGAGCCCTGCATTATATTTAAAGAATTTAAATAATGAAGAATCTGTACGAATGTATGTATGTTTCTCGTGCTGCAAAAAGCAATGGCACCTAGACACATAAAATTTTCAGGAAATTGTCCTCAAATAGAATATGGGCATCTGGGAGCCTAAACTTGGAATTTGGAATTTCTTTTATTATCTATTTCATGTTTCGTAAAGTTTTAACGAATTTTTGTTTAAGAAATGATTTCAATGCGACTCAATGATTTCAATGCGAGCAATGGCAACACTGTACAGAAAAAAAAAAAAAAAAATATCTCCAGTGCGTGAGACTGTGTATTGACAATTCTAAAGATATGCTCATTTAAAAATTATTTTGCGATATTGCTGTTGAATTTTATGGTTTAGAAGAACATAATATTTAATAAATAAAGGTAACACACAGAATGTTAAAAAAGGCCCTTTGAGCATAATATAAAATCTGAAAGCTTGCAGATTTTTTATTTTGTCTTGATAGTGGTTTCTCTTAAATACCTTTTATTTTAACATGCCAAGATGTTGAGGCATCGGAGTTCTGCTTTGGTAGTATTTGGATTTGATAGTTTCTTTTGTCATATATTGTGTGAGTGAAATCGTGTTTAGAAATGCCGGATACCATAGTTCTCTGAAAAGACCAGGTTATATATTAATTTTTGCTCCAGAGGTACATTAGGGCTTATTTTCAATTGGCATCTTATTTCTTAATGCTCAACAGCATACATTTATTCATATATAATCAGCCTTCACTGTAAATATTCCATTTCAAGGAAATTCCGTATTCGCTCTCTCCAGTCTGATAAGAGAAAGTGCATTATCTCTCAAAAACCTCTAAAAATTGAATGATAAATAAATAAATTTTAAAAGAAATTTACGCGATTATATTTACCAAAATAACTGAATAATAAATCTAATTGAAAAATATACCATTTAGATGTATGGTGTATGAAATGCCATTTAGATTTATTACAGTTAAGATTAGATTTAATTACAGTTATTATTACACATAGTTATTATATTTGTCACTTGTTCTTTTCCAGTTTCACTGTATGTTAGTAACTGTACAAGATAAATGACTTACCATAAGTATAATTGTTCTAATCTTTTCTTCAAATTGATCAGTTATAAGTATGAATAATTTTATCCATTACAATGCAAAAATATTAAAAATTAATAACAAGTAATGCTAACAAATTTAATTTCAACTTTTACTTAACTTCTAACTGCAAAAATAATATGTAATTTGTTTCTGGCATGATATAGATTCCAGGAAAATTCTATCCATGGCTAAGAAGCAAAGATTCCTTTATAAGAATATGTAAAAATTGCAAAACATGTATTTGAAGGATGTAATATGGAGTACATTTATATTGGAACAAATAAGGATCAAAATGTCATTCCCATAAATGAAGCAACTGTACAATCCCAGACTCACTTCACTACTAGAAGAAAGAGGCCAATCTTTTTCTTTGTTTCAGTGGTCACTAGCATATTGTGTCATGGTCTAGAACTGGGTTCATCCCTGTCTTGCAGATCCTTTATTTATAATAGAGAAAAGTGAGAATACATATAAAAGTAACATAAAGGCTTTTTTCTATACAAATGGAATGCATGTCTTAAGTATGAATGATTTTCAGGATAAGTAATTTTTTTTCATTTTTAAACTTGCAGAAATTCTAGAAAAAAATATGAAAAACAAAAAGAAGTTTTAATGGCAGATATCCATACAGTTCATTATGTCCAATTTCCATACATTTAGGTTTGCTGTACCAGTGTTAAATAACATTGAATGTATCAGAAATTGGACAAGGCCAAAAGTTTCATTCCTTACTTTTAGGGGTTTGTTATGGCAGAGTTTGACTGTATTCATGTACAAGAATCTGTATGCCCTGTAATTTTTGTATATATTCATATACAAAAATTTATATTATTTCAATTATGGCCCTATCATCTGCTGGAACATTGTCATAAAGCTCCAAACCCTAATTCCAACCTGAATTTGGTGTGATTAGTTTTGGTTGTAATTCTTCACAGCCAAGAGTAGAGTTCTTCTATCTTTGCAAAAAGAGATCCAGCTTCTTTTTGCAGAATCTGTGAAAAACATTCTGGCCTTTGGAGTCCTCTATGATTCCTTTCTTGTACTTGACAGAATAGCCTTTTCTATTTACACTTATCTTGTTTGGTGAATAAAAATATTATTTCCTTTAAATTTGTCATTAAATCAGTTGCTAACTGAGGACTTATAAGTAGGGCTGTAGAGTCGGAGTCGGGTAGATTTTTGGGTAAAAAGAGTCGGAGTTGGACTCGCTAAAAAACACGTCGACTCCAACTCCAGTTTTTGTTGAACAGTTTGAATTTGAAATGAAATTAAAGTGAATTGAAAAAAAAAAAAAAAAAAAAAAAAATGACAAACTGAATTAATATTTTTATTTATGGACTATATACATTAATACATAGTTATTTTCTATTTTATTGACATATTAGTAAATAAATGTAAAGGAGCAGGATGGATGTGATATTTGCCATTATTGATTAAACTGATTCATTTAGTTACTAATCTCCTTGGTGAATTGAGGTAAGCAGCAAGAACTCCCAAAATTGATGCCATTCTTAGGAAGCGAGCAGGAAAAGGAGCAACGCAATGGAGAAATATATATTTGATGATATAGTGGTTGTTAGGAAAAGAGCTTTTTCAGAAGATGTAAATAACCCTAATATTTCACTAACAGAAAGACTATGGAATGATCTTGCAGAACTGGAAATCCTTCTTTCAACACCGTATATAGCCACAAAAAAGCTGCAATCTGAAGAATTAACAGAAGATGAGAATGTTAGAAGATGTAGATAACCTTAATGTTTCACTAACAGAAAGACTGTGGAATGATCTTGCAGAATTGGAAACTCTTCTTTCTATGCCATATATAGCAACCAAAAAGCTACAATCTGAAGAATTATTAAGAGGCAAGACTGGAAGAATGTGATGTTTGTTCTTTCTGAAATGGAGAGTTTATTGCAGAAGGAATCATTTCTTCAATGAAGAAAAGAGAAACTAGTTTGCTAGACAATAAGATCATGCTGGGTTCAATATATGTAGATCCAAAACGCCGAATTTTGTTTGATGACAAACAAATTAAAAAGCAAAGAAAGCCATCTATGAATTTTCATTAAGAATGAAATTATTCTCAGAACAAATGGAGTATTCAAATCAGGACAGTCAAACTGCAGATATTGCAACTGAGTCTCTATCATCTTCTTCCACTGATGAATTAGATTTTGACAAATATTTGGATAATATTGATAAGGCTAAGGCAAAGCGAATGAAAATAAAGAACCAAGAGCCTTTAGATATAAAAATGAAAAAATACAAACAAGATTTATACACGGCCTTTGAAGAAATAGATAAATATGATTGCTCTTGCAAGGCACCTCTTTTAGAACTTATAAAAATGTATCATGAAAAGTTAAAAGAAGTAGCCTTAACAGTAACAGCTCTTCCTCCTACTTAAGTTAGTGTGGAAAGACTCTTTTTAATTCTGAAGTTTATAAAATCGGATCTATTGTCCTCTAACAAAGAAGATCTTGCCGAAGTTTTACGGTTTCTTAGAAATTACTAATGCCAGTTTTTCCATTTCATAATAAATGCTAATTTATATAAAAAATTTACTATGCATCTACTACTTCTTTTATATTAAAAAAAATAAAGCTGTACCCATGTTTCTATGTTTACATATATATGAAGGAGTTGGAGTCATTAAAATTCCAAGAGTCAGAGTCGGTCATTTTCCCTACCGACTCCACAGCCCTGCTTATAAGATAGGTATGGCAGCAAAAATTGTTTAAAATGATGGAACCTGCAGAAGTAATAAAAATTGTGAGCCTAAAGCTCAGAAAACTTTTCTTTACTTTACTTGTAGGTATTAAATATGTTCATTATAACACCCAGCATCATATCAAATTATGAAGTTTCTAATTTAGTTATAATCATATTTGCTTATTATCAAATGTGCACATGTCTCTCCATTCTAATCGGTCATTTCGCAGTGATTCTGCCATCCCTCGTGTCTGCTGCATTTTGACTGCTGTTTATTTTTATAGTAGGGCTTATATCATAAGCATCCTGAAAAATGATACTGAGACTTATTTTCAGGAAAATATGATAGTGGGGAAATTTTTCCAAATTCTTTAATGGTGTTATAAAGGTACTGCGTTAAATAGGAGCTACTTGTACATATTTTTTAAAAGTTGACTTGAAAATTACTTACTGCTGCATTATTTAAAAAAATTTAATTAACTTTATTAGCCAGAAATATTTTATTGATAATTCTAATAATAAAAAGTAGGGAATTATGCGTGATTTATTTTATGTTTTGCATTGTTTACTTCTATTAATCTTTCTTCTTGATTGCAAATTTGTTTCAGGTTATTTATATCATTTTCTGTGTAGCTTAGCGTACTTTATTCTAAAAAATAAAGTCTGAAATTCTCGTATTAAAAGCGTAATCTTGTAAAAGAAGAGAAGAAATAAAAGAATCTTTATCAGTAATCATCACTCCTACCAAATTTTTCTCTGCTTTTATCTGTTATGAAAGTTTTGATCAAAAGTATTTCAATAAATGTAGCTTATTTATTAAGACCAGTCAAAATTTTTGTGAACTTTTATACAAAAATGATAGCTTTTTGTGGAAGTTAACTAAAATATCTTTTCCTTAGAAATTATTTCTCTTCAAGTTTTAGTTTTATTTGAAATAACTGAGAATATTACTGAGAAAAATAAAAACAAAACAAATGAAAAATTAATTTTGAATAGAATATTTACTCAAATTCATTTTAACTCTAACGTGAATGAACCCCTTTTTATCTAATTAAAAATTTAGATAAATAAAGCCAAGTATTGTATTAATTTTTGCTCCAAAGTTTGTATACAAAAATATGTACTTAAAGTATTTATAGTCATATACAAAATTGATTGTAAAGTACAAAGAGTTACATCTGAGCAGTATTTTAACAATTCATTGAAGAGTTAAAATTAGTTTTATACTTGCAGATTGCAAAACTAAAGCAATTTCTGTTATATTCGAGTGAAATTTATGTCATGGTTTAAAGATTTGTATCTTTCATAGTTTTCAGTGTTCTCGAAATTGGCATGACCCTGTAAAGTGCCACTTGCTGAAAAAATGGCAAAAGAAATGTGATGATGACAGTGAAACGTCTAATTGGATTGCAGCAAACACAAAGGTTATTATGATCCTATAATATATATATATATGTAAGGTAAAAAATATGTAAAACAGTATCCTAACTTTTTTTTAAACAACTCCTGAAGTCTCTATCTTAAAGATAGTAATATGATTATAATTAATCCTGTAAACTGCATAGTGATTCTTATGCAATGCTGATAATACAGGCACTTAAAAACTATAATAATATTAAAATTTTCAAACTAAAATCTACATTAGCCAGTAAGAATAATGTCAAACAAAAACTAAATAATTTTTAACTCGTTCACTGCCTTGGGGGTCACCGGTGGCCGGCAGGCGACTTGGCTACAGCGCCGTGGGGGGGCCACTAGTGATCGGCGAGGCGACCAATAGTAAAAATGCATAATTGGAGTAAATATTGACACTGATACATTTTTTAATAATACCATTGTTTCTATAATGGTTTGAAGAATAATAAATCACAAAAATTCAAATAATAAACTGCAAAAATGGTTTACAGCACCTCTGAGATCACTGGTGACTCCCATCATGAAAAATGCATTAAACATGATTATATAACTCACCTTATCCTCTGTAGGTAATATTTCAACATAATATACATTGCATAACAAAAAATTCTTGTTGGCGCCATGGGCGAAACACGTAAAATGCGAGCGGCAATCAACATGTTAACATATCTCCATACTATGAGTCATGCATTTCTCGGCTTCTCTGGCTTGCTTTTCAGATTTGCTTTCTTTCTTTCTTTCAAATATCTTACAAAAATATAAAAAATTATCAATGTAATAATTCAAGAAAGAGGGAACTTTTTGCATCATTTCAATCATGTTTGTAACAAAATGTTTTATCAAGAATAAAAAGTTTTAAGGTATTTTCTCCCTCCTTTGTGCATGCCTTCGTGGTGTAACTGGAAGCACACTCTTTGCATATTCAGGAGGTCTGGATTTCAAATCTCGCCAAAGGCACTGCACATTTCTTTGATTTGCTTGCTTAAAAAAATTCTACAAATGGTTCATGAACTAAAACGTGAAGGACGATAATTAATTCAACACTACAAGGAGTTGGTGATAGCATCTCCTCATCCCCAGCTGCACTTTAAAAGGGGGAGTATGTATGGTATTTTCTTCCACCCTTCCGTGCGCCTTCATAGTGTAGCTGAAAGCACACTTAACACATATTTGAGAGATCTGCAGTTTGAATACCGATGAGGGCATTGCACATTTTTCATTTTTCTGCACTGATATAACTTAATTACTCTACAAAATGTTCAGTCCATCACATATTAATATCTATATTATCATCAAAAATGATTTCATTACACACATATATATATGTATGCATAAACTCCAACTACTATGGATTCTCTATGATTTCTATGGAAATTCCTGAAAAACTATTAGCTATGAAAAGTATGGAAGAAACTATGAATTTTATAGAAACAGGGTAGGAGAACCAGTATCCAAAACAGAATCAACTAATTCATCCAATGATTTGCTGAATACTCATGTCATCATGTATCATGTGTTGAGTACATTGCTGGTTTTGAAGAATAGCCAATCATAGGTCAGTACAGCTCCAACCGTTCTTTCCTGTATCTATAGTTCCTTCCACTCTGAAGTTCTTGGCTGCTGTATAGGGCTTGTTTAACCTGCCTTGGCTCCATTTGTTTAGTTTGCGACGAGATCATAGCATGTGTGTTTTGTAAACTGTGATTCAGTTGGAATTTTTTTGTTAATTATGCTGTATCAAATCAAGATGCTAATTATAAAAGGAGAAATTTAAAGATTCATGTTCTTCAGAATTTCCATGCATTAAACATCCGAAGTTTCTGTGAATTACGCACATTGCAGTGTATGCAACAGAGACTTCTCAGTTGCGCATGGTGGAAAGGATGACTGTACATGGCATGTGCTTTCTCAAAAGCATAATAACTTGGTATTGTAAGATCTAAAGAAATAACGAATTTCTTCATGAAAGATAATGAAACAGATGCCATAAAAGCCAAATGCTATTTTGTTCAATTTTTAATTGAACATAATCTATCAATTTCAGTTTCGGATCATTCCAAACAGCTTTTCAATGCATTGTTTCCAGATTCTGCCATAGCAAAAACTTTTGCTGTTTCCGTACTAAAACTGCTGCCAATTTAAAATGCTTCCAGAAAGTACTGTTGCCAATATAGTAAAATCAGTTTGCAATACATCGTTTTCTCTAACTACTGATGGAAGTAATGACAACAAATTGTACCCTTTGATTATAGCAAAGAAAGGGGAGTGATAATTACTTCATTGATTTCTATATTAGAATGCACTAATAATACTGGAGAGGGTATTTTTAATTGTATATATGAAAACTTTATAAGCAAAGGTTTAGAAGGGAAACATTGCTTATCATTTTCTTCAGACAGTGCTACTAACTAATATGATGGGAAAATTTACAGGTGTAGCATCGTTTATCAAAATGCATCAACCAAACATAATCATCCAAGGTTGTCCATGCCATTTCTTGCATATAGCTGCAAAAAAGGCTACTAAAAATTATTGGCTCAGAAATAGAAATGTTGTTAGTAGATATATATTTTTATATGGAGAAATGTTCAAAACTAAAGCACAGCTTCAAAGTTGCTCAACTAATTGTGGGACAGAATGCAAAATCTGACAAAATTTTGAAATACTGTAGTAAAAGATGGTTTTCTCTTTTAGAGTCTATAGCAAGGATTTTGGAAAAGTGGGATGCTCTGATAATTTTTTGGGTGGTGACCAAGGGATTTTATGGTCATAAGTCAATAAGAGGTGGTGTCCTGAGGAATGGCTCTCCATTCCCTTTCAACCATTTGCCACAGTTCATTTTCTGAACGAGGCAGGGGCAGAGTCTGCAAACAGCGTCCAATCACATCCCACACATGTTTGATTGGTGACAGGGCAGGAGAGTACGGTGGCCAAGAAAGCATCTGTATACCTTGCAGGGCATGTTGGCAGATGCGAGCATTGTGTGGTCGGGCATTATCCTGCTGAAAAATTGCATTAGGCAGCCCCTGAAGGTAGGGGATTGCCACCGGCCGCAGTACATTATCCAAATATCATTGGGCCGTCATAGTGCCCTGAATACAAACTAGAGGTGATATGGAATCGTAGGCAATAGCGCCTGAAACCATTATGTAAGGTTGTCGCGCGGTGGGGCATTTCACAGTTACTGCCGGATTAGATAGTATTTAGATGGAGATGCATGCATTACACCTGGAAGACATAGCTCTACTCTCCGCTGTTTGATATTGGCAGCTCATAATTTTGCAAGCCAAATACCTCCTAATCCCTTAAAAGAAGAACCTGACAGAAAATGTGTTACTTATTGCCCTCCCCCCCCAAAAAAAAAATTCTGTGACTGGCAGAAAAATTCATTAAGAAACATGAATTTGATGCAAATAATGTGAAGTAGGACTTTGCCTGGGACATTATTTTGAAACTTACCATAACTAAATTTTTAATGTAATTAGTGTAAATATTGAATATTTTCTTACATTTCAATGCATACTTTAAATTTATACTCTATAAAGTAAATTATAATCTAATCAAGATTTATTTTCTGAATTTTTGTGTTTGTATGATAAATCTCTAAACTGATTTTTTATGCAAACCTATTCAAAGTCTTGCATATAAAAATGGGAATACAGAAAAGGGGGGCAATTTTTGGAACGATTTTGATAAAAAAAAAATTTTTTTTTAGCAGTCGGAGAGTTAACACTCACATATCAACTGACAATGGCTTTGTGAGTATGTTTCAGGGTATAAAGGGGTCTGGAGACATCATTCAAGATGTCTTTTCATAATTTATAACTGTAGAAAATAGCAAACCAAATTTTCAAGCTTTAAGTGAGGAGGTTTTATTCACATCGTAGTTCTAGAGAACAATGAAAATTGAAGTGATGATGAGGATAGCAGTGAAATGGAAATGGACAATATGAAAACTGCCCATTCTGATGGCCTTAAGCAAAATTCTTCAGTTCTTAAAGGAACAGCCTCATTCTTCTCCTATGAATCATTTGTTGATAAAAATGTTGGGTGCTTGTATGATGGCAGAATTATTGGATTGTCACAAGAAAGGTTAATAAATTATTTCTTCAAATAATAATAATGGTAATAATGTCTGATAAAAGCACAATGAGAAATTTGACAAAACTCACGAGTTATATAAATTTTTATAAAGTTTGTTTATTCCAGTCTTCTCGTGCATATTTTTGTCATGAAATAAAATGTGGACGTTATTTGTATAATTGAAACGATAAATTTTATCTACTAATAAAGAAATTTTTTTAAATGTTATTAGTAGCATTAGTGTATTTATTTTTAAAACTTCAAGGTAAAAAAAAATTTTAAAAACTGCCATCATTTAAAATTTAATTGACCAACTTTTAATTATCCAAGGTGGTTATGGTCCCAGTTATCTCAGATAATTGATGTTCTATTGTAGTTTGTCATGTATGGCCATGAAAATTACATGTTTGATCAGGGAAATTAAAAGTTCTATTTTCTGTGGGAACCTTATATAAAAGAAGTTTGTGTAGCAATGTCCAATTCTGACATGCTAATGCAAAAGATTAAATCACAATATGGATCATCTGAATGCTCTAACATTTAAAGTTTTATGTTTTAAAATGTTATATAATATTACAGGAATGTCCAAGTTGTAATATCACCATTGAGAAGGATGGAGGTTGTAATCATATGATTTGCAAGAATCAGAATTGCAGATTTGATTTCTGTTGGGTCTGTCTGGGCCCATGGAATCCTCATGGATCAGCATGGTAAGCTACTCTAGTGAATTCCTTTTCCTTATTTTAAACTTTTAATGTTATGGTATACTTTTTAAAAAAATAAATTAAAAAACTGGTATTTTTTACTTCCTTGTACGAAGTAAAAAGGAAGTATCGTAATCGCGAAAAGTTTCAGGCAACATATTTCAACGAAAATATCCATTTTGACCGCTATCGAATGCAGTTTAACGATGTTTTTGCATGATATCTGTACGTAAGGACGGAATAAAAGACTCGTTTCCTCCAAAAAAATTATAAAACTGCTTTGAAATTAATTCTGAAGAGAATTTTTCGTGGCATCTGTACGAACGTACGTACGTATCTCACAAAACTCAAAAACGAGTAGCCTCAGAACGTTGTAATTTTTTATATGGGACTGTTATAACATGTAGATGTGCACCTCGTATTTTGGTTGCAATCGGCCGCACCAAACGTATATAAATATATTTATATATATATCCACTCTGTTACCCGGCTGAGTGATCTCAGTTTCTTTACTCTTACATGTTTGTAAATTGTACATATTTTGCTTTAAAAATGATTGAATTATGTTGTTTTTATCTTCCGGTTAAGGTTTTCATGCCTTTAGTAAATCTGTATGCAATATTTTTAAAATTATCAACAATTTTAAAGTTATTTAAATGCCGCTAAGCCTTTTTTTTTACTTCTTTGTACGAAGTAAAAAGGAAGTATTGTAATCGCGAAAAGTTTCAGGCAGCATATTTCAACGAAAATATCGCATTTTGACCTCTTTCAAGTGCAATTTAACGATGTTTTTCCGTGTTATCTGTATGTAAGGACCGAATAAAACACTCTTTTCCTCCAAAAAATTATAAAACTGCTTTAAAATGAATTCTGAAGAGAATTTTTCGTGGCGTCTGTACAAACGTATGTACGTACGTGCATATGTACGTTCGTATCTCGCATAACTCAAAAACGAGTAGCCTCAGAACGTTGAAATTTGTATATTGGACTGCTATAACATGTAGATGTGCACCTCGTATTTTGGTTGCAATCGGCCGCACCAAACGTATATAAGTATATTTATATATATATCGACTCCGTGATCTCAGTTTCTTTACTCTTATATGTTTGTAAATTGTACATTTTTTGCTTTAAAAATGATTGAATTATGTTGTTCTTATCTTCCGGTTAAGGTTTTTATGCCTTTAGTAAATCTGTATGCAATATTTTTAGAATTATCAACAATTTTAAAATTGTTTAAGTGACGCTAAGCCTAATAATGTTTTCGATGGCGGCCATTGCTCTTGCTTACATTTGAAAACAGCAGGATAGCAGATTTGTTGCCAATCTAGAGAAACTTAGCTTCGCAACAACAAAGATAACGCCTTCATTTATTATTTAAATCATGCTTAATCCTTTCTGGAATTTTTTCGAGGAAATAAGCGTTTAAGATTTACTTCGTAATTTTTAATACAGATATTTTGAGTTTTTATGTATTTTTTGCCTTGTCGCGAAGTGAAAACGGAATTAATTGAATGAGAAATACTCAATCGTCTGTAAAAAACTGTTTCTTTTTTGTTTTGTTTGCTTAATTTCTTTTATACATCGTTCTAGCTTTAATATAGTATTTGAATGGAACATGTGGCAACGGTTAGATAATTCTTTAAAGGATATAAATTTTGTGCATTCTGAGTTATAATATGAACGAAATATAATACTGTTAAGTAAACCTAGCGCCAGAGTGTCGCTATGGTAAACAAAGTGAATTTTAAAGAATGCATTTATTCTATTGTGGTTTATGCGCTGTTGGCGAAGTAGGTTTAATTCAATCTAATAAGTTTAAATGAAATGCAAGAAAAAATGCGTATGATTTAATATTCCGTACAAGGAAATCATGTGGTGTACACATCAGATTTTTTTTATTATGTTATGATGCATGATAAGACCAGTTCTTCATACAAATATGAAAAAGTATTTAATTTTAATAATAACTTAAATCTTTTTGTAGAAAGTGAAATACTCATTAAGTCTTAATCAATTAAAGAGTTCCATATATTTGTGTGAAAAATCCAAAGAAATATCTGAGCCTATAATTTAAGCTTGAATTGTCGGGACTATCAGTTTAAGGAAATCATTCAGAAAATATAAAACAGTTGGTGCTGCTTAATGTGATCATGATTTTGCATGGTTATTTTGATAACATTAACCAAATGGTAAATATTAAATGAAAAAAATATCTTTCAAAATAACAATGAAATTTAACTAATTTAATATATATATAAAATAATTTATAATTTGATATGTTTTCATATCTATCTATCTATCTATATATAAAGGCACACTCACAACATTTTAATTAACCTCTGAGCAGCTCAGGCTTTTGGATCTGTCATGAAGACCTGTATTTAAAGAGCCTTTATTAGCTAAATTTTTATATTTACTTACTTTAGGCTCTATTTTCATAAACTACATTTATTAAGATGACATTTATATTATTAAAGAAAGTAAAAAAAAAAAAAAATCTCATTACAAGCTATAACAAAGTGACAAAAAAAATCTTGTGATCGGATAAAGCCGGCCATGATGCTCAAAAGATTAAGAAAATGCAAAAGTCTGCTATGAACTCTTCATAATGTCATTAATGCAAAAACTCATGTATAAGCTTTTCATTTCTGGAAATAATGATAATGATGTACCCCTATCTTGAAGGGTATCCCTGATTGAAAGAGAACATGCCAATGTAAAATTTTAAATTACACAAAAAGTAATTTTAGTTTGCTGTTAATGTTTTTGAAGAACTTTTTTAAAGGGGGAAAAATTTGCTCACTTTTTCCCCTTCCTGAAGAAAAAGGACCTGCATCTAATTTCCTCAAAATCAACAGTTATTGAAAATCTAAATTGTTTTTGCTTTAATTTTAAATGATTGACTAGTAAAAAGCTTTTACGAAAACATTTAAGCATCTTATATGAAACAAAAGTTTGCTGGTTTTGAGATTAATATTTTAATAACTGTAATTTTTTAGTAATCTTTTTAAGGTTTCATAACTCTGAAATCCTCCTCTTCCACTGGGAGGCTAATATCATGTAGTTCTTCACCTTACTTCAGGAACTTTTGTTGTTGGAAGTACATATCTCAAGATCAGTATTGGAAGACCTAAAACCTGTGGTTACTATTTTCAAACACCCTCTATCTTATTCTACATTCCCTATTGGATAAATTTGCAGTGATAAATGGAAATCAGTGCATTCTTATGTTTTTCTCATAAAATGTGATAATTGAGTCTTAATCTATTGAAATCTACTGAATAGACAATTTCATTTGATTTTTCAGATGTAACTACTTTGAGTTCAGAAATAAGTGATTGCTTTTTAATCTTATATTAAAAATTAGAGACTTTTCCAAAGTAGTGCATGTGTTTGTGCTTTAAATGCAAGTTACAAGATGTCTTTATAAGCATTTTTTTATTGTTAGGTACAATTGCAACCGTTATGATGAAGAAGTAGCCAAAGCAGCAAGGTATGCACAAGAGAAGTCCCGCTCTGCTCTTCAGCGATATCTGTTTTATTGCAATCGCTATATGAACCACATGCAGAGCTTAAAATTTGAAAACAAGGTTTGTCTTATTTTGTTAATTGCTGTGTAGATCTTTCTCAGAAAGTAATAATAATCTTTGTTAAAAAACAAAAAGGGATTGGAAAAACTAATAAATTTTAAATGATGCACGCAAATAATCAAAAACATTTCAAAGACAAAAAAAATATTTACAAAAATTGCAATAAATGGTAAATTAGCCCAACTCAAGTTTTAAGATGGACTTATCAAGGGAAAAGTGTGATAAAACTCGAATCTAGCAATATCAGTAGTGTGTTTCGTCAAACGAAAACAATTGAGACTGAAAGCAGAATTTCATTAATAAAATTATCAAACTGAATCATCTTAATATAGTAAGTCTCAATGGTTTCGCTTCTTTTCCCAACGCGCCTGTAATTTAAAATTGTATGTGTAAAACTTACTATTTTTGCAAGAAAAAAACTGTACAAGGTAGCCTAGTTATGCGAATGTACAAATTAAATAAATAGCTGAAAAGCTATTAGTCAAAAAATTACACAATTTTAAAGGAAATCCCAATGAGCTCGAAGAAGAAAAACTTTGTTAAAGAAAAGAATAAAATAAACATAAAAATAATGTCTCAAAATGGATCCTGCTAAGACCAAAGACAAAGAAAAATAGAAGAATAAGATAGACATACCTGTGTCCATAGCATTGGCCTGATCACAGTAAAGTGATCAAAAAGCGCTGAAAAAGGTTGCCGGAATTAGAAGAATTCCAAAGGAATGCTACTAGAAAAGAAAAGTAGTCAAAATTCGCCAATTAGTTGAAACAGTGTGGAAGGGGGAAACAAACGTAATGAAGCAGTAGCCAGTGGTATATAATGGCCAGTGGGGAAAAACCTTGGGGAAGGGTTTGAAGGTGGAAGATGGATGCTATTCTTACAAAATAGCGTCTTGTTCAAAACTAAGTCGTTAAAAAAGTGAAGACGAAAACAAAATATCGAAAATCTAAGCATATATACCCACTCTGTTATTCGGCTTAGTTTTTTTTTTTTTTTTTTTTTTTTTTTTTTTTTTTTTTATTCTTATAGGTTGGTAAATTGCACATTTTTTTTACTTTAAAAATGATTGAATTATATTGTTCTTATCTTCCATTTAAGGTTTTTATGCCTTTAGTTAATCTGCATGCAATAGTTGTAGAATTATCAACAATTTAAAAGTTAAGTGCGGCTAAACCTAATTTATCATAGCAGCCATATTTGTTTAAATTTGAAACTTAGCAGAATAGTGAATTAAGTCAGTTTCTGCACCTTCAGTCTCTCTCTCCTCTCTTTTTTTTTTTTTTTTTTTTTTTTTTTTTTTTTTTTTTTTTTTTTTTTTTTTTTTTGTGCTGAGTGGGACCAAAAGTAAGCTTTCAGTTCTGTGCATCAAAAAAATCTGCCTCTGCCTTCTTACCCAATGGCGGAATTACTTTTTTTTTTTTTTTTTTTTTTTTTTTTTTTTTTTTTTTTTTTTTGGTGTGTGTGTGTGTGTTGTGTAGAAACTCTAAAATATGTTTAAATGAAACAGGAAAATTGTGTATAATTTAATCTGGTGTACACATCAGAGTATCACAGTTTTTTTTATTTAGAAACATAATTATTCCAAGTATTTGTGCAATATGTTGCTGAAAATTGATCAGTAGAGATAAAAAGTAAGAAATTTGGAACCAGTTACACAAAGACAATTTATCCTATGAATATGCAAAATAAGAAAGAAATGGGAAACTAAAACCTAAAAATTATAAAAATCAGAAGAAATACCAAAACCAGAAAAAATATAAAAGAAGAGGAATTCAATCAAATCTGGTGTAACGTTATCAAAAGGAGGATATATTGGACGTAATTGCAATTCCCCCTTAACTTGAAAACCACCTCATTTCTGTATTCAAAATTAGCTGATGAACTATTCTAAAGTATTTAATTATAACCTCTTGTGTTGTAACCTCCTTCAGTTCTACCAATTATTCACCATTTTTGATGCCTTTGAGCCATAACTACTAACTACTGTTTGCTCTTAGAAACCACATTCATTTTAAACAACACTACAGACCAGAATTCCAACATGCATCCATTGCACATCACATTGTGAATCACCGAATTTGCATATTTCCAGCACTAATGTATGCTTGGAAGTGCAATTTTGTGTTCAATTGCATTTAATTAGCATAAATAATTGCACACTAGACATTAGTTGTATCATTATCTTAGTATATTTTTTCCTCATTATCCTTTAATTTTGATAAAATGTATATATTGTTGCATTTCTTATGGGTTTGTGGATTTGGAGTGACTGATGACAGCACTTGTTGAAGAATCAAAGCACAATTTATTTAGCTATTATTACTCAGGACAAAATCCCATTTTCAGTCATTGAAAAACTACGACAAACATGCTGAAACAATCAGCAACACAGCCTTTGGGCTATCAGACTATAATAGTGAAGACAGGTTCACAGCAAAGCACTAGAGTACAGCTTCCCGACTCGATCCAGTCTTTCTTACATAACATACTCTCGAGACTCTCCACGCTGCAACTCTTGATGTACTCGACGATACACTCAATAGTCTCAATGGCATACACTTGTGGTGTACTCGACGATATACTCAATAGTCTCAATGGCGTACACTCTTGATACACTGACAAGACACTTCAACACTAGTCTGATGATCAACTGCTACTCTGCGTACAGGCAGGATTTATATAGCTTTTGGGCTGCCTTCGAGAACATTCTAGGCTAAACTGGTAAGAATTCGTTCCAGAATGTTCTTCATCTGTCTATGGCATATCGCCAATTTTGTCACTAAATGGGCGATTTCATGCTAAATCTGGCAACACTGCCTTTCCTTGACATTTTATGGCAACCCTAAACCTGCCTTGAGGGGAAGCTATCTTACTAAGGCTGGGAATTATGTAACAATGTTCCCTTACAAGGACTGCATGTCCTAGGCAGTACAATCCTTCATCAGAAGCCAAATTCAGTACAAACAAAAGGTAATAAAACAAACAAAAAATACATAAAGAAACAAATATTTACACTGTTACTTACAAAAATTAACCATATAACAATTTAAATTTTGTACATTAGAGTTCAGAATGAATTTTAGTCTCAGATTTTTCGTTAAACTATACCCGGGTCAAATACAGTACAAAGTCTTTAATCTGGACGTCCATAATCCGGAATGATCTATAATCCTGACCTCAAAGTTACAAACTTTCTGTGCATGCGTAGCATTTACGCATGCGCATAATACTTTTACACATGCGCATATGCATTTACGCATGCACATTTAGTGTATAACGAACGGTATAAGCTAGGCTAAAATTATCTAATTATCTATTTCAGTTAATGTTGGAGATTGTGTTGTTCCTTAATCCTCTGATTGGATCCGGCTTATTATTTTTTGCAGACTGTTAAAGCAATTTTATAAAAGTAAGCTTGAACTTTCGATTACATCAAATAGAATTTCCGTTTCTGGAGCTGCCAAAAGGATCTACAAGGGCGAAGCATGTTTCGATGGTCCATTAAACAAAAAGTGGAAGTGCTGCTGCAAAAAATGGATAAAGCATGAAGAAAAGTAGAGAGGGTGATTTGTTTCTCTAACCATTCCAAAATCTGTTTATCAATTTCACGCTGCTGTGAGGGGGGGGGAACGACGCGGCGCGCAATGAACTGGAAGTTGATCTGTCAGCACTATCATCATCTTCAGCGCAGATGTTTTTATTTTATTCGGCTTATAATTCCTTACTAAATGTAGTGTTTCATCTCGATGAACACAATATGATTTAAATCAATTTCCTCTTCATTATAAATATCACAAATACACATCAAATAGTTTTCTGATTGCAAATTTCTAATTTTGACAATGCATAATGTATGCTTTACGCATGTGCGCGTTGAAAGATATGTTTAATAAAGTAAGCAAATAAATATTAATTTTTTTTTTTTTTTTTTTTTTGTAAATTTTGATACCTTTTATTTCATAAATTACGATTTCATATTTTTAATTGTATGCTTTCTGCATACCATCTTACCAGAGTTAAACTGATGATCTATAATTTGGAAAAACCGATAATCTGGAATCGCCAAAGTCCCGACGAGTCCGGATTAAAGACTTTTGACTGTATAACAAAAAGGGAATAAAGAATGTCATCCAGTATAAAACTTTAATTGAATTTTAGAAGCAATTATTCTTTAAAATTAGTATACTGAAAAAGGGTGTTCAAAATGTTTTTAATGATAGTTTTGTAGACATGAGTAGAAAAATCCATAGAAGTTGAATTTTAGATTTAAAATTTTTTTTTTAATTTAAAATTACAAAAAAAGGCAAAAGAAAGCTTGAAAAAGGGAGTAAAGGAACTATTGTTAGGAAACTAAAACATCTTCACGTCATGGGCTTATCATGATGACTTTAAGTATAGGAGGCCCTTGTTTTAATAATAGAATATTAATAAAGAGGAAATAAATAAATAAAAAAATAAAAACGCATAAACCCTTTAAAACATCCTTCTTTATCCTTTTCTTTTGGAGCTTTCAGATACAAAATTCATACTTTTAAAAAGTATTCTAGGGTGTAGATTACTCCAGGTTTTTTTTTTAATGACTATTAATGAATTTTATAGGAATTTCATTTTCTTTTAAAATTTTGGTTAGAATTGGAATTTTTTCATTTTGTGTTTCTATTTCAGTGCAAACTTTTTTTATTCTGCTAATTTTTTTAATAATAGTATTTGCAATAACTTTTTCAGATATGTTGGAGTTCCTATATATATATATTACATAAAGTAATCTACATTATCGTCTCTCTCCTTTCTCAGAGGGGAGTGATTATTGGTAATCTCTCCATTTGACACTTTGTCTTAGGATCATACTGCTAGCACCAACTTTCATCTGCAGCAGAAATGTTGGAAAACCAAATGTGGGATTAATTCTCTTAACTCTGTACTCAGAATCCACATCATAGTTGCCAGTTCTCATGGTTTTACTACAGATTACTAGCTTTTTATTAGATCTTTTGGTCTCCCAATTTTTAATTTTCAGTCTTTTATTTTGCTGTTGCTGACACAGTTTTGTCCTTTCACCCAAACCTAATGAATATGAAGATAAGGTATTGTTTTGTTTTTTGCTTCATGTGGCTGCACTTGCCATCATGTTTTTAAATTTGCTATTAGTTGTTAACTAATGAATTTTATTATTTGGCATTTATTATTAATCTCATTTCCTTCATATTTGAAAGTACTTTCATAAATAAAAGTTTTTTCTTTCTTTCTACTCAAAAATTTTTCAGTGTAAAATTTAAAAAAAAAGGGGGGGTAAATAAAATAACGTTAATCAGAAGTATAACATTTAAAATCACAAATTAATATTAATACTTTAATATCAGAATTATATAACAAATAGTTCAGGTATCTGAATCAGGCATTGTAAAATGAATTTAAATCATTTTGGCATTCCCTTGAAATTGCACAGTCCTTACTCCCTGTTTTTCAAATATCAAGATTGGCTGCTATGTCACATCCAACGTGCCCAGTAGTGACCTATGAAGAGTTTGACAAATGGCTCGCATTTCATCTCATAAAAACAGAATTCTAATTTATTTATGTTTTATTTTACAAAAATAGAAAATATGAATAATTGTATATGGACAAGAAAACATTTCCAAATAAAATAATAATAATAATAATAGAACCCCCTGAAAGTTTAAAAAAAAATTGGTACAGTTCTGTTTTCAGGACCGTAGAATACAACAACAAAAATATATGTACAAAAGCATCAAATTTACTAAACGCAGCTGATTAATGGGAAATTATGCCCAAAGAATCAGGAGATGCAATTATGTTTTATCAATAATTCAGCAGTGAAATGGCACTGCAGTAAAGAATCCTGTAATGAGAAAAAAGTATTAAAAGCATAATTTGTTTGAAAGGTCGAAAATCCCCTTCCTTACAATCATGAGGTTCTTCTGTTTTTGGTTTCAAATGGCATCTGTTTAGTGAACAGCAGCTGAAGATGAACCCCGATACAACTGTTGACTGGAACAGTTACATGCATGAGGTGTGTGTGTGCTGCAGCTTTAATTGCTTGGCCTACATGTAAAATCAGCAGATGTGACTAGATTATTGAAGTAGACAAAAACTTTTTCGGTTGAAGCAAGAACAACTTTGAACGTTTTCTTCTGCCACAGTAGATTGTGCAGTGAATCAGAAGAATGTTTTTCAGTTTCTGTTCCAAATCGATCAGTAAAAACTTTATTAAATCTCATAAAATAAAATATAGCAGAAGAAAGCATTATTTATACGGATTGCTGGAAAATATAAAAGTCAGATGAATTTCGAGATGGCAGCTGTGAACATCTTATCGTCAGCGACAAATATAATTTCATGGACTCCAAAAGTGGGTGTCATGTACAAAACATGGTTGTGGGGCAATGCTAAATGGTGCAGTAATTGCATTGAGGCATTATTTGACTTCATCTCGCTTTTTACTTTTCTGAATGTATGTGAGGAGGTTCACATAAAAAAAAAAACTGAAATTTTCTCTGAAGTATTAGAAAATATCAAAGATTTTATGCCTCCTGTTTTATTTCAATTACGTTTGACCTTTCTCGTTTATTTTTATTTATTTTTCTATACATAGTAACCAAAAGTATCATATATAGAATTAAAATTTAGTTTAAATTAAAATAATTATTTGCTATTATGCTTCCTCGTGTTAGGATTATCTTAATTATTTTGGGCATCTTTGGTATCAATAACAGTCTGGTATTTTTTTATGGTCCCAATAATAGAATTGCACCAAAAGTTTTTTAAAAAATCACAGAATATCACAGAAATTCCATAAAATAAGAAGTAGATTTAATTAAACAGCATAGTTTATGCCATAAGCTCTCGCACATTATTTTCTTCTTCTTTTGGTTCAGTTCATCTTAAGGAAATTCTAAGGGCAAGCAGTGACTTTTCAGAAAGTTTTTACATAAAGTTCTCTTAAAATTTTCCCAATTATAGAGATTATCATTAGATCTGAAATATATTGTACTATCGAAGAGGAATTTCTGGATTTCTGGTTGTAGTTCATTGAGCTTAATGCTCATTCAGCTTCAGTGCTATTGTGGTCTGTATGGTGATTTTAGCCTTTTTTTTTTTTATGCTGTTAAAATTGTGTTATGCAATTTTTCTGTTAAAACCATGGCAACAAAATCCTGAAAATAATTTATTTTTATTTTGTGGTTTACTAAAAAATTTAATATTTGTCAAGTGTGATTATGACATGCAAGACATGTTGTTTTTGGAACGAATAAATAAAACACTGGGGGGGGGGGAAAAAAACAAGGTTCTAGCAAATTAAAGACAAATTTTACAAAGGAATTGTATGAACCCCCTCCCTATACATCACCACTGATCATGCCTCTCACTTAACTTCTAACTAGATGCAACGAACTAAAAACTGAACAGTGGTATGTTAAGCACAGCTCTGTCAGTTGGTGGTTTTACATGGAAAAATTTCCAAAGCCATATGTTCAGATTATATATTATATATTATTAAGTGACCCATTTTTTATGTCAGCATATAAGAATTAAGAAGCCTGACCTGGAACTTCTGTGGTAGAAACTGTATTTTTCTGACTGTAATGAGAAAGAGTTTTGCCATTTCACATCAAGAAAACTGAAAATCATGTTACAAAATATTGAATCAATACATTATTTAAATAGACTTAACTGTAATCCACAAATGATTTGATTCAATTATAATATGAAACATTCCTTATCCTACCAAAGTAAAAGGTTATGTTCCTAACATAACCTTTTACTTTTACTTTAATGTAAATAAGTAAAAATTGTTAAACATGTTAAGTTTAAATAGATTTTATTGAAAAATTGTTACCTTCCATGCAAATTTTGCATTTTATGAAAAATGGCCCATGTATTAAAAAAGGTTGACTTTTTAATCATTCCTATACATCTGTATGGAATATTTGTAATAATTTTAAAGTTAAAAAGTTATGCAATTTACTTTATTTTTATTTATTTGGAATATATATGTAAAATATAAAATATGAAACAAAATTATTAAACTCATTTGGAATGAAATGGGAAAAGATCTTTAAATTGATAAATTTTAATTAAATGCATCCCCGTTTCAAAGTATATGCTTTGCTGCATCACTCTGCCACATGTTATGTCACGACTTCCCTGCAATCTGTTTGATCTGCAACATCTGTAACCCATTCGCTGCTGAAGATTAATACAATGACTTTCTGGCTATAAATAAGGAAAAATTTATATGCATTGCTTTTTTTACTTGTTGTTGCCTGAGTAACCCATGTCTCTCATTTCACCCACCTTCTTAATGTAAACTACTTATATGGAAATTGTAGGCCATATTTAGCACCTCTAGTATTGTATTAGTGTGTAACCTGCAGTATATTTCTGAGTAATTGTTCCTTTAAAAAATAAAAATGCTGTTTTAACCAGAAAACCAGTTGTGATTTTTGCACCAGTCATAAGAAGTAGTCTTCTCAGCCATTATGTCCAATATTTGCTTCAATAAAATACAGTTTTGAAAAAAAAAATTGGAAATGTTCTGTAATCTCTCCTCTCCCTCCCCCCCCCAAAAAAGGATGTTTTGAAAAGTAAGTGTTAGTAGCAATTTTTATTTATTTACCTTGTTAATGCTCTTATTATTTAATTTGTTTTGTCATTTATATAATTTAATCTATCCTTCGCTTACATTTCCATTCTATTATATAGCTATATGCTTCAGTTAAAGAAAAAATGGAGGAAATGCAGCAGCATAACATGTCATGGATAGAAGTCCAGTTCCTAAAGAAGGCAGTTGATGTCTTGTGCCAGTGTCGTCAGACATTGATGTACACATATGTTTTTGCATATTATTTAAAGAAGAATAATCAATCTGCAATTTTTGAGGTATGATATGACTCAGTTGAGGACATATTTTGTTGGATTTTGATTTTAACTTACAAAGAAAAAAATTTTGATGAAATTTAGAGAAAAAAAATACAATTTTTATTCTTTTTTGATTGTAGTACATAAGTATATGTTTTGTATTGTTGTGTATTTTGTAAGATTAATGTTTTCTTCCTTTTTTATACCTGTAATTTCCCATCCCCTTGGCCTTGAAATAATCCTTTAAAAAACTATAAATGCAAATGCATACTGAAGTAATAGAAATAAATGTTAAATCCTTAACATGAAAGTAAAGATATAAATATAAAGCTGCTCTGAAATCATACATAATCTTATATTCTTTTTTCGTAAATGGTGAAACAAATGCTCATTAGAGAATTATTTGATTACAAGTTAATTTAGAGTTGAAATTTTTTTTAATGTGAAATAGATTTATAAACTCGAAAATTGATGTTTTATTACAACTTAAATTACTATATTTTTGTATATTAGTGAAAATGCTTTAAAATTCATTATTGAGTACATAATTCTGCTTTCTTAATTATAACAAAGTATTAATTTTATTTGTTGAAGTGATATTTTAATTGAAGAGATTACCCATTTAAATTTTGTGACATTTTCAAATTTAAAATTAAAATTGTGTCTATTGTATTTTAACAAGAAATTTTAAACGTAATTCGGAAAAAAAATTAACCCTAAACCATTGTGTAAATAAAATTTTAAACTATTTAAAAAAATTTTTTTTATTTTGCTACTGCATTTTTTAAGTATTCATATTTTTATGTTAATTTTATTTTTCTGCATTCTTTGAAATATACTGTATAAAACTTTGTAAGGAATTTTCAATACTTCTGTTCCTAAGCTTAAATTATTTTCATATCATGCCTAGTCAAGAAACAAGAGATTTCAGCTAGATCTTAAGTTAAATATTTTTATGGAATTAATTATATAAATGCTATTGTTAATTCCATGCATTGTATGTTTATTAAAAACATTGTGAACATGTGCAAAAAAAATTAAAAATCTTTATCTTAATTTTAAAAAATATGCAAAATAATAATATTTTTAAAAAAATACAAAATTAGAAATGAGTATAGAAATTTACAAACATGAATCTGTTAACAGGATAACCAAAGTGATTTAGAAAATGCTACTGAGCAACTGTCCGAGTATTTGGAACGAGACATAACTCAAGAGAATCTATTAGCCATTAAACAGAAAGTTCAAGATAAATACAGGTAATATGATTATATGGGTTTTAAAAACACTTAGTATGTTTTTAAGGCATTGAAAAGACTTTTCTGTCCTAAATCAGTTTTGTTAGCTTTACTATGTTTACACAAGTGTAATTACATGTGCAAGAAAAAATAAGATATGAAATAATGTAATATTGGATGGGAGTAGTATTACTTCCATAAAATAATTATTAGTATTCATATTTTTTTAATTTTTGCATGCGCTTTATTATGATCACATGCTCATTAGTCCATTGTTAATCTGAATATGTCTGCAAATATTTATTGCAGTAAGCTAATACATAAAAGAACAGAGGTACATGCAAATAAAAAGCTCATAGAAAGAAAGAGAGTTTTATACCATTTAAAGGCCAGGATTACCTGTATCTGCACTGCATTTGTTCCCAAAAATAATCAAGTGACAAAATTAATTGCTCACAAAGCAAAATTTCTTTTTTTAGAAGTTGAAAAGAGAAATATGAAGAAATTATTATTATTATTATTATTTATTAATTTACAGGTACTGTGACAGCAGAAGAAAAGTTCTTTTAGATCATGTACATGAAGGCTATGACAAAGATTGTTGGGAATACACTGAATGACATGAGGAGATGGATCCATACTTTTTTTGGGGTCAACAAATGCAGGATACTAAATTTGAGGCCTCTCAGCCTTCAACGTCTTTTCAGTAATGGGTAAAGTTTGGTAGTAAAATGTAAAAAAAAATTGTGACTTTGTTTCTGTTTCCAAGAAGACTGTCAACAACCTTCAATAAGCAAGGTAATTTGAGTGCATTTCAGTACTGTGTCCCAGTGTAAATCAGTCTTGTTTAGTTTTACTTATTATCATTTGACATTTTCTCTAGAAATTATAGCATAAAATTATGTACAATTTTATTTCAAGCATGTTATTTTTTTTCGCAAAAAATTTTTAACTGCTTCATCAAAGCATAGGAGATGAGATTCAAAAGTGTTTCATCTCTCTTCTTTTCTGAAATATATATACAAGGCACTTAATATTATGTTTTGTTAAGTACTATTGTGTGATTTTAGTTATGCAAATGAGCTAACTTCTGTCTTTTCTTTTTTAATGAGTTAATTTTGATGGAAATTTGAATTACTACTGTATCTACTATAATTTTGTTCCTATTTGTTTTTGTTTTAGTTCCTAATCCACACAAATAATCATTTATTTCACTGTTTATAAAATCATTTGGATAACATTACTGTAGATTTCTTTGCTAGATATTTGTAGTTTGAGATATGTGAATATGTATTGAATATTGAATTTTGCTAATAATGCTTTAGTGCCTGTCGCTGTATATAAAATCTGCTATTGGATTAGCTTTCTTGTTAAAATAGCTGGAGACATTTTGTCAAATATTTTAACATATAATTAATAAATTATTGCTGTCAAAATATGTGCTATCTCTTTAATGTGGTATTTGTTTGTTTATTCATTTTCATAAATTATCTGTAAAACTTATCTTTTATACATAGCTTTTAAAGAAGAAAAATCATCTTATAGATTCCAAGAAAAGGATTTTAAATATTCATTTGATTACAGTCTAGCTTTAATTATAAAGTACGAAAAATAAAAAGGAAGGAATTAATCAAATATCTATTTAAATAAGTTACAAAACTTAAAAATTCAGATTTGTATGATTTTGTAATTCAGACTAGCTTTAAAACAGCTTTGATGACTGTGTTACATGTTGTGTGTATTTATATACAAATATAATTTGTATATTTTTATATGTGTGATCAGTCAACTTTGGGCAGCTTTGAAGTTTGAAAAAACCTCTGCAGAGACAAATTTTTTAAAGTGCCAAAAATTGTTTGTTTGATTAAGATTTATACATTTCATATCAGTAACAATTTTTTTATACCTAGTCCCCTTTGGTGAAAACCATTTTATGCTACCGATAGTTGCATTCATCATGCTTGTTACAATTAGTTCTAAATTCTTTGAATTTGAGTTAATTAAATCTGAGTAATTAGAAAAGAATGTTAAGATAAAAAGAATGATAATAATCACATTTGTTATGGAAGGTACATTTTAATAATTTGTTCAAATTTTTTTTGCAACTTAAGTCATTTAAACCGGAGTAATTAGAAAGGAATGCTGAAATGAAAATGGTGATAAAATTGGTCCTGTATTCTTAATTTAGAAAGATGTGTTGCCATAAAAACAAAATAATTATTCCACATGACTAAAACAAAGGGATTTAACAGGAGGGAATACCAAGTATTCCTTAAACAGTAAAGTACTATTTGTACGACTTTCAAGAACCATTAAAAAAATATACTTGACAAGTACATGTAATCAAAGGATTATTTTGAAATGAGTTTTTAGCTATAGAAATTTGTAGCTACTATACATATTTAATTTAATCATCCTAGATTTAATATGGTTGAAATATTACTTAAATGTTAAAATATTACACTTTTAAACTGTAGGAATTGAAAATTTTACAAAATGAACATTAAAAGAAAGCAAAATTTTACAGTTTTGTCTTCTTATCGTATCGCTGATTGTTTTTAAGCCATTTTGCATAAATATCCCTCATCAACCATACTTTTTTATCCGCTTATGTTACTATAATGTTATGATTTTAATACTTTGAAACGTTTTTTTTTTTTTTTTTTTTTTTTTTTTTTTTTTTTTCTGACTTCCATGCGATGAAACATATCATGTTTTCAATTTTATCAACTTTCAAACTGATAAGGAAAGCTACCAGATTTCTTTACAACAAATACTGTAAAATTTTCAGAAGTGATCACGGATGCAAATTAAAAAATAGGTGCAAAGTTGAGCATTTTGTTATCTGCTACAATCCTTAAAACAGTGTAAATAAAGAGGTTTATGCAATATTTGCAATCATAGATTTTGCAAATGCAATATGTCTGTGAGGTTTGTGGAATTTTATCGTCAGCAAGTCCCATGTTACTTACCTACAGGAATTTGATGTATATTTATTGGAGAGTTTGTGCTAGGCATAATACACAGACGTCCAAAAAGTTAAGCATAATTGATGTTTATGTTAATATTTAAGGAAATCTAAATCAGATTGGTGGGAAATGTGATATGCGAGTGTAATACTGTTATGCCATAAGAAAACAATGAAAAAGGATCACTTTTATTAAATCACTTCACATTTTAAAGTAATCACATTTATTAATTCATGGAAACAGTTTGAAAAAGGAAAGCATAAAATAATAGTTTGTACATTGGTGAAAAAAATTAAAATAAAAAGGTTATTTGACAGTTTAATAAGGTGTGTGGTCGCCTCTGGTAGTCACACACATGCTGCACAACAATTGCCCATATGTGCTATGAGCTGTGAGCAGTTCTAAGCAGTTAGCAATTCTGAGCACAAAGGAGGGCTCTTTTCTTTTTTCCCCATCAACTCTGTTCCAGAGTTTGATGGGTACAGAAGGGATGCAATTTTTCTCCCAAGCATATCTCACACATGTTCAATAGGATTAAGATCAGGAAAATGAGTGAGCTACTGCATGCACTGGCTATTTTCACTTTCAAGGAAGTTGTCGCCTGGGATCACCTGGTGAAAAGGCATGTTATCATCCATAAATGTGAATCCAAAACTGACAACACCTCAAAACAAGCAAACATAAGGCTCAAGGTCTTCATCTCTGTACTGTTTAGTGGTAACAAACACCATGCCAAAGGCAAGGAGGTCTTTGTGGCCATCCAACATTATGCTTGCCCACACCATGACTACCTTTGAAGGAAAATGATGTCTTTCCATGATGTTTATTAGGTGAAAAGGTGTTCCACATTCTCTCCATATCGTTATCCAATGAGAATCACTGTTCAGAGTAAACTCGTCACTGAATATCACATTGACCCACTCTTGCATACTTCAGTTTAGATGAGCATATTTATATGTAGGCATGAGAGGAATGCAAGTGGCTGGTCATCTGTCATACATACCACCGTGATGAAGTCTCCTATAAACACTTTGCCTTGAAAATAATAATCCTGTGGTGACTGTGAGTGCTAAACTGAGTTCTCTGGCACAACTATCCCTCTGACATTCTGCAGTTATTGCCAAATATTGGTCTTGACGAATGGTTGTTGCTCTTGGTTGACATTCTACTGGTCATCAGGTAACATCTCCCATGTTGTGTAACCTGTGCCGTGTCTTGAGATTACACACTGAGGTACATTCAGAATTTGACACAGTTTGGTTTGACTTCCTTTCAAAAACATGTCCATTTGGCATCTGTGTTATCCTTCAGCTGCTTTGATTGTTTAACTCTCTCCTCAGCACAGCAGTTGTACATAATCTGCCTGATCTTTATATGACACGTGAAATGGTTTTATATTCTTTCTAATGTGCATGCCTCTGTCGACTGAAATGTTTTGCATATGCACATGTTTTGTTGTTTCACCTTCAGTGATTCTCCAGAAGTGATTTTGAGCAATTTAAAATTTACTCACTTCTTTCAAATTTTACGAATTATGCTTAACTTTTGGATACCAGTGTAGATATTTATTTGGCCTTGATTTGAACCACTTTGTGGTCAGTCGTACAATTTGTTTCAAGCTGGGATAATTTGCCGCACTTTATTTGATGTTGTCTTATATTTTCGAGCAATTGCTGTTCAGAATTTTAGTTGCTTTGTCAGAGTAAATATATCTTGCACAAAGCGCTTGTCAGTGTACTTTGAAATCATGACGTGTGTTGGATAATCCTTTCACTTCCATCACTCATAAATTCCACAACATGAAGATGACAAATTTACTCCAAACTATTGTCTGTCAAGGTTGAACATACCATGCTCTGTATCACAGTACTCTCTGCCGTATGACATGCATGATACCTTCAGAAATGATACTTATGACAGAGTTCTATTGTTAATCAGGCACATTACATTTGCCAAACTTATGGAAACAAATATTGCCACTGTAGGTGCCATTTTACACTTTTTATGCCAGTTGCAAGTGGTTCAGAAATGCCACACTTTACATTTATCTTTTATTCACATATTTGATTACCCCTAAAACTTCTTTGGCAGTTATCAAAATGGCTTTTCTTATTCATAAAATAATAAGAGGATTCATACTATTCTTAGCTACATTATACTGATCATTTTCAAAATCTAGCTTGTACAAGATGGAGGAGAAATCGGTCATTATCATTAAAAATGTGTTTAATCTGATACTGTTGTATTGAAAATGCCACACTGAACATTTATTTATTATTCACATATTTGATTACCCCCAAAACTTCTGTGGCAATTATCAAAACAGCTTTTCATATTAGTAAAATAATAAGATGATTCATATTATCCTTAGCTACATTATACTGATTATCTTCAAAATCTAGCAAGTATAAGACGAAGGAGAAATCAGTCATTATCATTAAAAATGTGTTCAAGCTGATACCCATGTATGTTGTTGGGTGTATTTTTGAAATAGTTGTTAATGGATTTAGGTGGCTCCTCTTTGTATTATACGATAATAATATAATATGAGATTCTGTGCTGCAATTTAAATTTAGGCAGATGTCCAGCTGAAAAGCAGCTGCAACCTAGATTTGTGGCAGTTCACAAAAATATGTTGTTTCAAATGCACTTGTGCTATACAATTCAGAGTCCCAGATTCGAGTATGATAAAATGCAGAGCAGCCAGAAGGAACATCTTCCTTTATTGGTGCAATCTATTTGCAAACATCGCCAATAACAATTAAAATACATAGATCATCAAACATCAGATTCCATTTTAATAACCAAATTTAGATTGTGATGGAACCAGTATGGTTCTCAAAGTAACAAAATACACAAATTATTTCTACTAAATTATCATACATTAGTTTTGAGATGCCGCTCTTTTGTCTTTTTCTATTAGCAGAGATCTGTTTTTTGGAATATTACCAATGACATTGAGTGAAAACTTTCAGTAAAATAAACCCAGAACCTCAAAAATTGCATCTTGACCAAGCAACTTTAAATTGAATTCTGTACAAGCTGCTGAATTTTCTTCAACTTACTCGTATATTCTTGCAGAAATATTTGTTTTCAGTGGAATTCCTCTCCTTTCATGGCAAGATCTGCTGTTTTCAACAGTTCTACTTTTGTCAATTCCATATATTTATTAAAATCTTTTATATTTTCATTTTTGTTGTTTAATGGAAACGCCTTTTGTTTTTTAGAGGTTTTTAGCAGCGAGTTACATTTAGAAATAGAACGCAATGATAAATAGTCAAATTAAATTTTCATTTTTGTGGTGAATGAAAGTGCCTTTTGTTTATTAGAGATTTCAACAGCAAGTTAGGTTCAAAGTACAGTGCAAAGATAAATAATAGCCAAGTTCAAACCTGTAGTAGGAAAAAAGCATCTGTCACTAGTAAATACAGAGGATCTTTTATCTAGTCTAGTGATCTTTCTTTCCATC